GTTAAATAATCTCAGGGAAGTGAGGAGGATTATTAACAGAGAATTTTGAGATCCTAAGTCCAAAGCATTATAGAAATGGAATTATTCTTAGAAAGAACAGTCTCTGCTGCCTAATTTCACTTTTTGCCTTTTCTTCCTGCCCATCTACTGTTGACAGTTTGAGTGTCCTGTATAGTCTCCATAGCCTTTCTTGACTGCATCTCTCTTGTCTTAGGCTTCTGATAGCTACCTGTCCCTGCTTCACAGATTCTCCTTCCAGCTTTATAAATTTCAGTAATCTTGTGGTCATCGTGCATGATCTTTAGAAAAAAAAAACAAAAAACCAAACTGTAACTTTGCTTCTGACTACTATGGGGAAATGTGATAACAAGTGTGAATTTTCCTTTGAGGCAAAGATAATAAGGCAAAAAAAGACAAGAAAAGGCATAAAGGGGTAATTTAGGAAAGTGAGTGGGTGATGGTAGAGATCTAGTAGTTGAATTAATAGAAAAAGAGAATAGGAATAGAATGAATAAATGGAGAAAAATACATATGAAAATCCTTCAGAATGTATAGCCACCAGATTCTGTTGTTTAATCTAGGAAGTTGGTAGGCTGTAAATAATAGATTCATTATTTATGGTTGTTTTTCTCCAGTAAGTGCTTTAATCTTTGTTTGGGGGCATGGGCAGAGTTCACAGATGCCGTGACTGTACTAATGAAATGAGGAAACAATAGGTCTGGAGTGATAACTGCTTTGGAAAGATTGAAAACTGTCCTGAAAACTTTTGGCATGGAGTCCATCTGTTTGTCCAGTAGAGATAACCAGGCATTTCCTACACAGAATGCAACCAGACTCTTTAGCAATGTATGGGAAAGTCAAGAGTACATTAAAGAAACTCAAGTGGTTTATGGACAGAAGTAATAAGAAAGATGAATTACAAGGAAAGGGCATTAAGTTTGCAAAATTCCTGCGGTGGGGAACAGGGCAATACTAAATTGCAGTGGCAGTTACAGAACAAGTTTACAGAAGATAGGGAGCTTGGTGTAAACATGTAAGAGATCACATAATGTTGCAGAAGTAATAATGCCAGTCTGCCAGGAGACTGAAAATGTGCCATAAAGTTATGATCTAAAATTGACTAGTGTATTTTTTGTCACTAACTTTAAAAACCTATTCTTTGAAGGTTTCAAGTTGGAGAACTGTTGATTTCCTTTGACATATTTTAATTTCTAAACCTTACCAGTCAAGCTTAACCATTTTAGCCAGTCTTGAATAGTCTGGTCTGGAAATGAAACAATACATGAGAGGCTGTTTGAATGGTATTTCCAGCATAATGGAAGCTGAAAATACCAGAGGCTTATAAGGACCGATGGATATTTCAGCAGGGAGAATGGAACACATCATTTTGAGAGCTGCAGCACATCTGTAATTTCTACTTAAAACAATGCGAGTCTCAGGAGCTCAGATGCTCTTGCAGGCTTTGGGGTTATGGTGCTAGCCAAGCTGGAATGTGGGCTAACAGTCCGATTCTTAGAAAATGTTGGATGGGATGTTTAAAAACCACAAGCTGTATCTTAGATCTCACAACAAAGACTGCATCTTTGGCCAAAGAGAGCCCTCCGGAAGCCTTCCGACTCACAGGGAAGAATGCTGTCTCCTGAGTCACAAATCCCACATCCTCCTGCATACAGGTTTCCCCTTAGATGTCTGCCATTCAAGTCCTGATTAGTTCTCTGCAACTTCAGCTCTGTGGGCTCAGATGGAATTGCAACCCAGGATGATTTAGCTGCAAGCAAATAAGAGTTGATTTAAAACCAACATTATGTAGTACCCAACTGAGTGTAAGACATAGCGGGTATGTCTACACGTGCGCTTTAATGCTTAGTAGTCTATTTTACTGTGTATTAAAGTGCCACGTAAAAAACTGTGCTATTATGCTAATGCACAGTAACATAGGCTACTGTGCATTAAGTGTCACCTAAAAAGCATGCATTTGCGCTACCGTGCATTAGGGCAGCCTAATGTGCATTAATTTAGTACACCACATTGGAGGTACTAAATTTTATGCATGTTAGGAAAAGCGCATTAATGCACATGTAGATGTGCCCAGTGACTATATTTGTATCACAAGTATTTTGATTTTTCTCTTGACTTTAGTATCCTAAAACACATATTTCTAACAGTAGTGTCATGGAAGTAAAAACAAATGGCCTTTTCCAATAGGGATAGACACCAACTGTACTTACTGTCACTTGAAATGTCATAGAATTTTCAAGAATATCCAGTTTTTTTCCTATTTCCTAGCAGCCAGACACTTTAGTAGAGTTTCTGTATTGTGTGTATGACTACACAGGGGAAAGCTTGCACAGCATGGAATGAAACTTTCATGCCCAGAGTACAGAGGGAAAGCACAGCGGACAAGATACTGCAAGTGACTGGAGGTGGCTGAGGAATGGAAATCCATTCCCAGGACATATTTTGCAAGTATGAACATTTCCCCCTGCAAAATCTAGACAAACCATCCACATCTCAAACATTTTTTGCATGAAAAGAATTCCAGAAAAAAAATCTATTTTGGGAGAGCTGAAACGGGACTGTCTTGGTATGCTGGCTCTCTCCCCAAAAAGGCATTGTCACTTCCATTCTCATCACAGGTAGTGAGTAAAATAGATAAATTATTTCCTGGAGCCAGCAAAAAGATGAGCAGCCTGGCACTCTACCTTCTTTCTTCTCTCCCAATGGCAGCTGTGGGAGAGAGATTCAGACTATGGATCAAGTGCTAGGCTGGGCACTCAGCCTCCCTGCCTCTCCCAAGGTCAGCTGTGACTTTTTTTCTGCATACCTAGAAGTCACTGGTTAATTCTGCTTTCTCCAGCTTGACAGGAAGCAAGCTATTTATATGATTTTCCCAAAAGAAAACAATTTTCCTCCTAAATATAAACTTTCTGAAAAGGGGCTTTCCCCCAAATAATTAAAAACCACTGGCATAATTTTTCAGCAAAAAAAATCTTTTCAGAAAGTTTATATTTGGGGAAAATTTGTTTTTCTCCCAGATATTTTGATTTTCTTTTGGGAAAATAATACAAATAGCTTCCTTCCTGTCCAGCTAGAGAAAGCAGAATTAACCAGTGCTTTCTAGGTATGCAGAAATAAAGCCACAGCTGACCTTGGGAGATGCAGGGAGGCTGAGTGTCCACCTTACCACTTGATCCATAACCTGGATTTCTCCCCTACAGCTGCATTGGGAGACAAGCAAGAAGGTGGAGTGCCAGGCTTCTCATCCTTTTGCTGGCTCCAGGAAATAATTTATCTATTTTACTTGCTACCTGTGATGAAAATGAAAGTTTTGGGACTGTTGCAAACTTCTCATTATGCATCTGAACTTTCCCCAAATTAAAGGGTGCAATAACTCTTTCCTCACCCATAGAAATAAGACTAAGATAATTGATGTGTGTGAATGGCTTAGATAGCTACCTGTGATGAGACTGAAAATAACAAGGCCTTTTTGGGGAGAGAGACAACATACCAAGACAGTTGCATTTCAGCTCTGGTTGAAAACCCACTTAAAAGCCATCGTTTTAAAACTCATTTTCCAAGGGGTCCTTGAGTCAAGGCATCCCTCATTAGACTCAAGAACCCCTTGTAAAATGCCAGCTCTTAGCTTTCACTCATTGCTTGACTAGTCATTGCCTAACTATGAAAAAATAGAGCAATTGTTCTGTTGCAAGGAAGTCAGAAATGCAACAACAGGTCAGAATGGTTCTGACACTGAATTTCCTATCTGAAATCTCTGGGCTTACCTTATGAATTATGTGTATGCGTTTGTACATGTAACAATGCTAATACTTCATGGCACCCTGTGGCAGCCTGAAAACGATCTTGCATCACCCTGGTTGAGAATCACTGAGTTATACTCATGGAAAATTCCCAAGCAGCTTGACAACGATCCCTCTATTACAACCTAGTCCAACATAAACACAGATCCATATATGCACTTGGCAACTGCCCCAACTAGGGATGGGTCCTTCCTACCAAGCTTTAATTCAGACCCAAATATTCCCAGAGTTGATTTAGGGTTTTGGGACTGTTGCCAACCACACATTATGCATCTAAATTTTCTCCAAATTAAAACGTGCAATAACTCTTTCCTCACCCATAGAATTATTAAGTCTAAATTAATTGATGTGTGTGAACGGCTTAGATAGCATGTTGTGGCTGTAGGAGTGTTCATAAGAGACTGTACTTCATTTCCTGGCCTCGGTCACATGACAAAGGAGAGGACCATGAAAGGGTTTACCTCTGTCTCAAAGCTCTGCCCAACAATTTCTTTTATTGCAATTAACACTATAGAAATAGCCATAAAACAAGCAGAACAGAGAGCACTTGAAAGGTCAAGAAGAAGCAAACCTTAAAGGTAGTATGTTTAAAAGTATCCCATCATTTTTCTCATTGTAGAACTCAGGAGCTAACGTATGAGACCATGACTCCATAAAATCTGTTGGAGGTGGTCACACTTCTGGTTTTTGTTTTGTGGATTGATTCTAAAGTATTGAGCTGACTTTGCATTTTAATTGATTTTGTTTGTTTGTTTCAGTGCAATAAAAAATGCAACCCTACCAAGGATATTTGGGAACAGTAGAAAAGTAGAAGTATTAATGGCATGTTATTGTGGTTAGCTTTTCAGTTTATTTTAAATTGTAACCACAATTACATTTTGAACTGCATTTTTTAAGCCCTTGTCTCTGCTATTTTCAAGACCCACTCCAGATCCTTCAGGGACTGTGGTAATAATGAAACCTTCATACGGATTGGCAGAAAGCAATCAGTATAAATAACGCATACTTTATTTGCTTGCTTTTACTCTTTTATTTTTAACCATATTTTGTATTGCATTTCTGTGTTTGGTTTTGAAAATAACCCTAGACTTTTCATTTTATGTGGCATCAAGTCTTGACACTGAAATTAAAAGATGGGATTGAGCAAATTATGAAATTTCTGCATCAGCACAACAACTCTAAGCCCTGCCTTTGTCAATATTTTGTCCAGCTACTGAACAGGACTCAGCAATATAACATATTCATCAGAGGGCTAGAAGAGAGAGAGAGAGAGAGGGATGAGGTCCAGAATTTATTTGCTGAATCTTGAAATGCAAGCCATTCAAAGCATTAATTTGGGAGCGAGGCAGAATGAGCAAACATTATGAGAGACAAAGCCTGCTTTTTAATACACACTAGGCCACTTTCATCCCTGACATGACTCCACAGAACTCTAAAGATTGCAAAGAAGACACAGCAATATGGGCCAGGAACCAGCCCCTAACAGGATTCCTGTAGTTTTTGCATTAAGGACCCTGGCCCCACATCTTTACCCCTATGGCCACCTGTGCTAGCTGGATTAAGGTTAATCCACAATCACACCTTCATTTTGTGAAGACACTGGCTTTTCAGTAAGAGGGAGGGATGACAATGCCTTTCTTTAAAGGTCCTGTAAAACCACTCTTCCAAAGAATTAAATAGGAGGAAGTGCTGCCTTTCTCAACAGGTTTTTGTTCTTTTCCTTTAAATGGAGAGAAGCAGTGCTCCCATAAGATTTTTTTCCTGTTGTGTGTATCTCTGTGAAAGTGTGTGCATGTGTTTGTTGTGCTGATGCACAGCAGAGCTGACAGACAGCTGTTTGTGGCTATAATCTGGTCAAATGGAGTTCTTTAATTGACAGCACGCAAAGTCTCATGTGTGGGGTGATTGTGACACCAACAGCTTCATTCATAAAAAGATTGGTCCTGCTTTGCCATTCCTTTTCTCCATCACCAACTGGCCTTCTCTTCCCTGCTTTTTTCCTGCTTCCCCTCTCTCTCCGCAGTACTGATAAGCTTCTTTCGCTAGCCCTTTCTTCTCTTTTGGCAGGAGTCCGGATGTATGGTTCTGTAGTAAGTGTTGGGAATGCTGGAAAACTGGACAGCTTTTCATCATGCCCACTCTAGAAGACGACACAAGAACCATTTTAGTGGTCATCATATTATGACTTCATGTGATTTTGCACTACTCAGGGCCTTCCAAGGTTAGAAACACAGGCTATATTCCCATTAGGAAGAAAAGATTGATAGCTTTCCAAAAGCAAAAAGATCCCTTAGTCCCGATGGCTCAAAATATATTAGAGCTGGTCAAAAAATTACCCTGAAACTTCTCCCCTCCCCCTCATTTTTTTTACTTTTAAAAGCTTTCCATTCTCTGTGTGCCTAGACACACACAGAGGGACTAGCTGTGCGATAAGTTGTGGAGCAGTGTAACATATTTAATGTATCTTGCATCTCGAATTTTCTCACATGCCTGTTAATCCTGTTCAGCTGGGGTTACTTCTAAATCTCTGGACCCACAAGCAATTTCAGAGTCACCGCTTGAAAGAAAGAGGCCAGTTCTGTTTTCATCCCTCAGATGAATCTTGTCTAGATGGAGTATATGTGCGTGTGTGTCCAGCAGGGGGAGTTAGTTTATCCCTTTTTAAAAATGAACTGGGGCTGCGTGCAAAGAGCACTGCAAGCTCGAATCCCACAAAATTTTTCTGTCAAACTTGTCATTTTTCAAGTGAGTTGTATGCTCAGACTAGTTTCATCTACTGTTCCAATTGTACTAGGTAGGAGAATGTCAGTCCCTTCTGGCCAGTGCATTGGATAAAAACCTTTGGGTTAAGAGAAGGAGAATTTCATTTCCCATTTCCTTTCAAAATATGAAGAAAGGGTTTCTTCCACTGTGCTGAGTCCTCGGAATTAGGAAAAAAACACCCCATACTGGCTCAGCAGCTGGCTGGCATAAAAGAGGCGTCATATTCTCAGTATTAAATATTTCTTTTTTATTAAATTAATATACAAGCGAGCAGTATAGAGATTCCTTCTACATCTTAACCACACTTAGAGGGACTTAAGTTATTAATGCCAAATATAATAAAAATGTATTCTAATCTTGGTCATGTTTCTGGTTCTCATTTACTGTCTGCCATCTTATATTTCTCTGCCTCTTTCTCTTTCCAGTTCCTCTGTTTATATTATGATTCTTGCTTGTGTCTCTCTGTCTCCAGACTTCCTCAGACCCCATCCTTTTCTAAGATTTCCTTTACTCTCTCTATCCACCAGTTAGTTTCCTTTAATTTTTTCCCCTTCTGTATTTCTTCACTTTCAGTCTTTTATTAATGTTTTGAGATATATATATATTTGGTGGGAGAGGAGCCCTTATTCCCTTTTCTCTGATTTTCTTTAATCTTTTCTTCCCTGGGGCCTGTTTCATATTCTGCTGAAAGCTGTGAGCATCTTTTGCTGGACTCCAGTGGGGAATGTGTCCAGAGGTGGTATCGCCCTTCCTTTGGCTCCCTGAGCAGCAGTCAAATAACTTGAAATTTGTTTCTTCAAGAAAAATAAGAGGCACAACTCCATGCTGTACCTAGTCACAATCAAGGACAGACAGGTGAGTATAGGCCTTGGATGTCTCTTGAGAGCTAGAATTCAAATCAACCCTGCCTTTTCCAGCTTCTGCCACGTACACTGCAGTTAAGTGGGAGGAGACATAAAGGGCTAGCTTTAGAATATGTGGCAGAGTCCAAGTGCCTTCCACAGCATTTAGGGGGATGGTATATGGGTATGAAGGATAAGGAATGGGGTGGAAAGTGGAAAATAAATGAATGTGTTTTCTCATTACAGTATCAAGAAAGAAAGTCCTAATCCTGTTCCTCTTCTTTTTCCTTTCTAGAAATCACTTGAGAAAGGGATTTGATTTTTTTTTTTACAATCTGGTTATAACATTTGTAGAAAGAATGAAAAATCTGAAAAATATCTGAAGGAAATATTGAATTTTTTGGCAAAACTTGGGCAATCTCATGATTTTATTTTGCCATAAGACCCCTCCTCCCCTAGCTTTAGTCATCTAGCAATAAACTACACTAGCATAATGGCAGGCCCTTTCGTCCTAAAAGTTCCTGAGGCATTTTCAGACCATATATAGGGATCATTTATTCACCTCTTGGGTGGAAGGCAGTATGACATTAACTGTACCAACTGCCCTACACAATAGACTTTAAGAGGGGAAGTGAAGAATAATTTTTCCTGTTGGAACAACAATAGATATTCTTACGTAGGCAGAAACATAGTTACCATAATTTGGCTGGAATACCACAGCTAACTTGTGAAACAAAGGGCTAAGGGATTTTTAATGAGCACAAGTAGGTACTGCACCTCTTTTTCAGCCTATTTATTCATAGAATGAATGTATTCTATCTTCTGTTCGCTGTCTACCTGTCAGGTTGAATGCTGGTCCATATATCACTATGTTAAGTTTGCTACGGCAATTTCATTCTAAGCATCCATTCTCAGCTTCTCAGCAATTGATGTTTTTAAGTTGAAACTTCGACTTGGTTTAAGCCCAAAAATTATTTTTAAGAGCTGAAGCCAGTCCTACAGCTGGGTGGATGAATATAAAAAATGATAGTGCTTTTCCACCTGTAAGAAAAATGTTGGTATGACAGGGTGGTCTGACCTCGCACAAGCCAGGCGGTCTGAGACCAGGAAGCCCTGTTTCATTTTGTGTTGTTAATAAATTGGGGCCTAATTCTGAGTTTGGGTGTGGTTTCAATCATTTCCTGAGCTGGGAATGGTCAGTAGCCTACCACTGATGAAAAATGTGGGCAGGTGAATGGAAAATGGTGCCACAGTAGATGAGAGAATACAAAAGCAACTACAGAAAAGCTAGTGATAGAAAGGATAGCTAACAGGCTTTGTCTTGTGGAATTTTCTTTTAATTTCCCCCCTCTTAGTAACCAGTATCAAAATGGGGGGGGGGGGGGGGGG